TCATCAGTGAATTTGAAATTAGACGTATAATACACTGATTAAAGAGAACAATTTAAATAGGTAATGACTTATTGTTATGATAGATTTTTTTTTTTCCAAATGAATTGCAAAAAAAAAATATAATTTAAGGATTAAAATTATCAAGAGAGTCTTAAAGGAATTCTTTTTTATTTTTATTTTGTTTTGATAATTTCTATATTCGACTGTTTTTTTTTTTTTTTTTTTTTTGTGTGCAATTTATTCCTAAAAACGTCAATCTCATGACATGAAGAATAATCCACCACTATTGTTCAGTTATTTCTCAAAGAAATGGAGAGAGACGTTCAAGAGCTGAAATCCAATTTCCATTTCAGTTTTCCAGCATTTGTACATAGAGAGTTTAAATTTTGAAATTCAAAAAATACAAGCTAAGGAACTCTTTTACAACAATATTTTATCATCAAAATAATACACATCATCACATGGCTCCAACTAGAAATATGACTAGAAAAGGACACAAAACAGTTTGGTTAGTTTCAGTTTAACCAAACTGAACTTGGGCGGCTTGATGGCACCGATATGTTGCTACTGCCACCTAAGCTGCTTCACGTAACTTCCTTCACTCCTCCTTGCCATCAAGGCTGCACATTCCAACTTGTTCTCTTAGTAGCTCGAACTTGGATTTTTGCAAACCCTTTGTAAAAATGTTAGCTATCTGCCCCTCTGAATTGCAATAAACTAATTGAATTTCATTTTTGAATTTTTCTCTTGGAACCAGTGAATTATTAACAGCTTTGCAACTCTTCATAGCAAACTCCTCCTGCATTGTAATTCTCCCAGCCTTCGATCTTGTAGCTTCTAAATAATTTGCAAGTTCTTCAATGACCATGTTACACCTTTCATAGATGTCAGCTTGTGTTTTGGTCCCTCTAATAGCAAAAACATCATCAAATTCATCATCATTCTCAAAATCAAATATTGGTTCATCATTTGCTACAAGAACCTGATTTGCAGCAACAATTTTCGAACTTTCCCAGTTCCGATTTGCACTTTCATCAAATTCCTCGCTTTTGCTCAGATCAACAAGACTAGCCTTTAGACTAATTTCAATTTGTTTCCATTGAATAGGAAAACTCCTTTCATTCATTCTAATAGTAAACATTTTTGAACCAGATTCATCTTCTACTTCACATATTTTGTCATGAAAATGAAGGACATAACCATGTTCAATCAACTGACCCACACTTATCAAGCTATAGTTAATATTAGGCACAAACAATACATCATGAATGTGTTTGATACCTGTTTGTGTCTCAACAGCAGCTACTCCCTTGCCTTTGACCTCCATCAATTCTCCATTTCCTAGTCTGACTTTTGAATTGTATTTTCTGTCAAGGCTTTTGAATATGGCTGCATTTGGGGTCATGTGGTTTGTACAACCACTATCAATCAACCAAGAGTCGTTGCTTAAGATGGCTGCACTGCAATCTCCAGTCTTTGTAGCCATAAACAGATGCTCTTCCTCTTCAACAATTTCTGCAATTTTGGCTTGCTGAACCCGATTTGAGCCTTCTTTGCAGACCCTTTCAACATGTCCAAACTGCTTGCACTTTCTGCATTGAACTCCAGGCCTAAACCAACAATATTTCTCGGAATGGCCTTTCTTTTTACAATGAGAGCAAGATGCATAGCTCTCCTTTTTGTTGTTTTGATACCCTTCCTTTTCTCGGTTTCTTTGATCACCGA